AGAGCGTCTTCCAAAAAAAAAACAACACACAGAGAAAGTATGCAAATGTGCAGCACTATTTGTGTGTAGGCTTATCCTTAGGGTTTTTTTTACACACAGAAGGTTGTATGCATGACTGTACCAGTATATTTATACTAAGCTATAAGCGATTAGCCTGATAAATTGCCATGCATTAAAAAAAGCTCTAAACCTCTCGCCCTGTTTCTTATTGAATCCTCCTTCGTTCCACCAAGAAACAGGGCAAGAGACGTAGGGCTGCTCTACGCAAGGAAGTATGCTGGTATCTCTCTGCCAGTGTGATCGCACTGTGCAATAAGCAATAACTCCAGTAAAGCTCTGGCAGTCAGGCCTGCCGACGGAGCAAAAGGGGCAGTTGGCCCTAGGCCCAGCAATTCTAAGGCCCTGGGCCCCTTTAATTGCTGCCGGAGTGCCACTCCCTGAGGTGCTGCAAGCTGATGGGGGTCCCAGTGCCATGACCTGGGCAATGCTGAGGTGCTGGCTGCCCATGGCCCTACCCCCTTCTGCCCACAGCCCCGCCCCTTCCAGAGACATGGAGCTGCCCTCCCTCTCCACCTTGCCCCAGGGCCTGCAACGGCTTTCAGCCCCACTGATGGTAGCATATCTCCCCAGGGGAGCATCTCCCTTGGGATCCAAAGAGCCCTTTTCTGTTTAGTTCGTCTCTTTGGAAATGGCTTAAGCAGAACCAAAAACCCCACCCTGAATCCTGAAGGAGGGCGCCTGTGTGGGGGTATACACTGGTACCGCTCTGCTGGTATAATTATGCAAGTAAATGTCTCCAAGCACATTAAGAAAGCCTTTGACAAGGTCCCTCACCAAAGGCTCTTGTGTAAATTACATGGCCATGGGATAAGAGGGAAGGTCCTTTCTTGGATTGAGAACTGGTTAAAAGACAGGAAACAAAGGGTAGGAATAAATGGTAAATTTTCAGATTGGAGAGGGGTAACTAGTGGTGTACCCCAAGGGTCAGTCCTGGGACCAATCCTTTTCAACTTATTCATAAATGATCTGGAGAAAGGGGTAAGCAGTGAGGTAGTAAAGTTTGCAGATGATACCAAACTGTTTAGGATAGTCAAGACAGAAGCAGACTGTGAGGGACTCCAAGAAGATCTCACCAAACTGAGTGATTGGGCAACAAAATGGCAAATGAAATTTAATGTGGATAAGTGTAAAGTAATGCACATCGGGAAAAATAACCCCAACTATACGTACAGTATGATGGGGGCTAATTTGGCTACGACAAATCAGGAAAGAGATCTTGGAGTTATCGTGGACAGTTCTCTGAAAACTTCCACACAGAGTGCAGCGGCGGTCAAAAAGGCAAATAGGATGCTAGGAATTATTAGGAAAGGGATAGAAAATAAGACCCAGAATATCTTACTGCCCCTGTATAAAACTATGGTACGCCCACATCTTGAATACTGTGTACAGATGTGGTCTCCTCACCTCAAAAAAGATATTTTGGCCTTGGAAAGGGTTCAGAAAAGGGCAACTAAAATGATTAGGGGTTTGGAACGGGTCCCATATGAGGAGAGGTTAAAGCGACTGGGACTTTTCAGTTTAGAAAAGAGGAGACTGAGGGGGGATATGATAGAGGTCTATAAAATCATGAGTGGTGTGGAGAGGGCTGATAAAGAAAAGTTATTTATTAGTTCCCATAATAGAAGAACTAGAGGACACCAAATGAAATTAATGGGTAGCAGGTTTAAAACTAATAAAAGAAAGTTCTTCTTCACACAGCGTGTAGTTAACCTGTGGAACTCCTTGCCAGAGGAGGCTGGGAAGGCTAGGACTATAATAGAGTTTAAAGAGAAGCTGGATAAATTCATGGAGGTTAGGTCCATAAAAAGCTATTAGCCAGGGGATATAATGGTGTCCTTGGCCTCTGTTTGTCAGAGGCTGGAGAGGGATGGCAGGAGACAAATCACTTGATCATTGTCTTCGGTCCACCCTCTCTGGGGCACCTGGTGCTGGCCACTGTCGGTAGACAGGATACTGGGCTAGATGGACCTTTGGTGTGACCCAGTACGGCTGTTCTTATGTTCTTATGTTATTACCGCAAACTGGGCAAGAGTTGTGGCTGACCCGAAAGCCCAGGAAATGGGCCACGTTTTATGGTTTGCGTTGAAATTGTGTATGTGACCCAGAGGAATAATTCCAAAGTAATGTGAGGAAAATACTGATGCCGGGGCCACCTTTATCGGAGTGGTCTTGGCTACTTGTATTTGCCGTCCTTTGTGGGTTTTATGCTGGCGTTCAAGAAGTTATCGGCGCAGGTTTTAAAATGTCTCCACAGAGCACTTGGCTTCGCTTTATTGCACAGCAGCTGGCCTCACATCATAATGGCTGAGATGCTTTTCCTCCCTGTAGGCATCACCACTTAATTAATCACTGATGAATTGGGTAGGGTTTAAGGGGAGCAGAATGTTGATAATCACATTCCCTAGGATGCAACAAGACAGGAGGTGCAGCCGACTGCCTCACATTCCCCCCGGGGAGTGATTCTATCAGTATAACCACAGCTATTTCAATTACTTTGTTCCTTCAGCGACATTTTCTTCAGCTCACGCCTTGTTTGTGTCTGCGAGGAACCTAGATAGCATCAGAAGAAGGTTGAAGAGCTCTAAGCTTGCTAGAGACAGGCTTTCGTATTGCCTTTACAATCACAGCTATATAGACTCTCAGAGGGTCGCCGTGTTAGTAACTTTAAGAACAGTGAGTAGTCCAGTGGCACCTTAGAGACTAACAAAAATATATAGTATCGTGAGCTTTCGTGGATAAGACCCACTTCATCAGATGAGTTGGAATGAAAAATCACAGAATCTAAATCAGTATACCAGCAGAAAAGAACCTGACAATTGTGGGAGCCGTGTTAATGAAGCTAATTTAGTGGCCTGGATACTACTATATAGAGTGCGACTGGGTAGCTTATCTCCACTCATCCAAACTGGAGCTAGAGACCCATGCTGGCCTTGGTGCATATAATAATATTTATTCTGCACATGGATGGAAAAATTCTGCATGTAGATGGAAAAAACGAGAGGGAACATTAGCCATTGCTAAATATTTTTGAAGATCCCACTGTGCATATCTTCTGAAAGTGGTTCATTTGTTGACTTGAGTCTGCAGTACTCTTGAATACCATTAATGCTGTTGTGTTTGGCCTAGGAACTAAGTAAATTCTGTGAAGCGTGTGGTTTGAATGCAAGAGGATGTGCAACATAAATGTATATTGCAACTTGTACCCATTACCTGTTGGGCAATGCTTTGGTATTCTTCTTAGCTTATGCGAGAGTGACTCTGATGACACATGACCAGCATTCACGGTCATGTGGGTTGATTGAATTTGGTCCACTGGTTGGGTCATCAGCCACCTGGGCCCAGGCTGGGTACAGGCAGGAGGTCAACGTGATCCATGCTTGGTACAGAGAGGCGCTGAACACACGAAATGTGATGGTCTTAAACGTTGAGGGCTCTGAGCTGCACTTGGGGGCTTTTCGGCCATGCAGGATCTAGCCCGGCTCGAACGTCTTCAAAATTATTTCAAAGGAATCTTTTTAACGAGGATCATTCCAATAAGGCTTCCTATGTCTGGGAACCATACAGATTCCTTCTGCCAGCGGGGACTCGTCAGTGTGGGTGGAATGTACAAGGCTTATTGTTTTAACAGGGGAATAGGCTGGTCCCACGGGGATATTTTGCATCATTTCCTTAACGATTTCCCTTTTATTTTCCAGGGAAAGGTGGCTCAGACTGCATGTATGTCTGCATGCAAACACTTATCCACCTCACTGATGCAGCTGCTGCTGGAGGCTGAAGTGAGGCAGCTTACACTGGGGGCCTTAAAGCAGTTCAACCTGGATGTAGAGGAGTGTGAACGTAAGGCACAAAATCCTTCCCTTTATCCTGCTGTTCTCTGTGTAGTCGTGGGGCCCTGGCGTTCCCGCTAGGTCCGTGGTGGTGTGTGGGTTGCTCTCGAAGCTCTCCTAAAAGGGGCGACAGCTAATCCTAGCTCCCAGTTTTAGTCTGTTTTGCAGTCGCATTTTCCAGACCAGAGAGACAGTCCCAGCCTCTCTGGAGCACACATTTAAAAAAGATGGGTGGCTGGAATGGAGAAAGGCCGTACGAAGGGATCAGGCTATGAGAGGTATTGATTGAAAATATGCTATTGAGGCAACTTCCGTCCTGGAGTGTCCCACATTATAAACACGCTTCTTGGCCTGACCTTTACAGTCTTTGTTTTTCACAGTCTCACTTTCTATTTGATTGTCTAAAGTACAGCCACTTGCTTGACTACACTTGAGGCTTGTCTTTAGGAATGTGTAAGAGAACAAATACACCAAAATGTCAGATGTTGTTTTCCGAGACAAAGCGGCAGAGGAAGGAGAGAGTTCATACTTTACCATTCCTTCTAGGAAGCTCTTCCCAGTGTTCAGTTTGCCTGAAACCAAAATATGCCTGTTAAACTTGCTGGCTACGTCTAGACTGGCATGATTTTCCGCAAGTGCTTTTAATGGAAAAGTTTTTCCGTTAAAAGCATTTGCAGAAAAGAGCGTCTAGATTGGCACAGACCGACATGGAGGAGAAACCTGAAAATCCCATCTTCTGATGGGTTAATTGGCTAGTATGTATATATTTGCCTACCAATTTGCATTTAATACTGTTATTTAAAGGACAGCTATCTCACTGTTCTTCAATGTCATTCACCTGGCAGGACAAGAATTTCTCTGAAAGACAAGCTGTGGAAACCCAATTTCTTGGAGTGTTTAGGACAAGACTAGGCAAAGCTCTAGAAAATATGCACCGGCAAGGAGAAAGGCTAATCACCTGATAGGTCTTTCTTATTTCTAGGCTATTTGAATCACTGAAATATGGGGGGAGAGGGTGTTTCTGAAGTTGTTCTTTTAACTGTTTATCAGCCTATGCAGAGCAGGGATGTTAAATTTAGATTAATTAAATAATCGAATAGTTGATGGATTTTCTATGGACTATTTGATTAGTCGATATGGGTACCTCTGCCTTTGAACTGTAGCAAGAGCCCTACCAGGGTGTCCCCCGCTGACCCCGCACTCCCTGTGGGGCTTCTGCTTTTGAAACGTACAAGAGCCTAGTAGGGCTCTTGTATATTTCAAAAGCAGAATCACAGTAGAACCAGTGCCAGCGGAGACGGATTCAGTCCCTCCTCGCGCTGTTTCCACTGTGCCTCTACCTCCTGCTCACGGAGACGGTACTGAGGGGAACCGGCTTATAAGCCAGCTCCCTCCAGCACCAGCTCCTGGTCCCCCCCTGCTGCGTCTGATAGAGGGGAAGTGACTAGTGCTTATGCATATCAGATAGTCGACTAGTCACATCCCTAATGCAGAGGAAATTTACATTTGTATCAAGCACTGTATTGACTGCAGAAGTAGATCACTTGATGTTTTCACAAATTGCCCTGGGGATGTAATGACAGACATGACATGGTATGGAGTTGAAAGCTGGCATAGAAATGCTCAACTCGGAGGCAGTAACTTTCTCCTAAAACCCCCCAGTGACTTTTAAAATGTCTTCCTGCTGCAGCTGCAGAAGATTTGGGATGGGGTTTCAGGTCTTGTGTTTGGATGCTATAACTGAACAATTGCTTGATTTTTATCATCATGAAATTTCACCAAAAAATTAGTGTGTACTATGTATATTCGTGAATGATTTGAAAACATCCTCATTTAACTTGGAAAAAGTGTCTACTGAGCATATGCACAGTAGTCGAACTCTGCAATAAAGGAAACATTGCTTCTGCACTGCATTTTACAGGCAGTCCCTGAGTCGGATCCGTAGTTACGAACGGGGCTTTTCTCGCCCGTGTCCTCCGCAGCTTTGCCCCCCGAGCAGACCAGGGAGACGCGGAGCAAAGCCTCAGAGGACGCGGGCAGTGGGCCCCCCCACAGCAGACCAGGGAGCCGCGGAACAAAGCCGCGGAGGATGCGGGTGGGACCGCGGCGCGTCTCGGCGGTCCTGCCGCCCGCGTCTCCCTGGTCTGCTGGTGGGGGGCGCACAGCTAGTGCGCCGCCCCCCCCCCCCCC